ATCAGGTGGGCCGTCAGTTTGTTTGCCATTCTAAGTTGTATAAAAAAAAAACATTCCCTTAAGGAGGAGGCCTATGTTCAGTAGTGGTCAGTTAACAGCTGATAAGATGATGAGTACCAAAGAGATCGACATAGTTTGATGGAGTGACGACCTGAAATGCAGTTGGCTCAGGACCGTTGCTTATTAATTTTGAATTAATTTCCTTAATTTCTGATGAATATGTCATAGTGAGCTAACTGACCTACTATCCCTAACTTATCAGGTCTCACACCAAATATCTTCAACGCAGATAGGGTTGCTATTTATATTATTATCCGTAACGTTCTCCTACTGTAGGCACTTTAAGGATTATGTTGTTCTCATAGAAAATTTATTTTATTATAATTGTATGAAACTGTACATGTCTATAAAAAAAGGTAGTTAAATTTATTTCTTTATTGAAATTCTTCTTCGACAACGATGTCTCGTGGCATCTTTCTAACTTTATAAGGTAGATACTTAAATGTTTTTACGTAGTTAGACACAATTTCTGAGTAAATTGTACTAATAATGTGATTCGCTGGCTTAACTGACTCCAAGTAAATAGTTGAGCCTTATATGGTATAATTATACGAGTGTACAAGTATTTCTATTTGCAGGTATTTTATTTCCTAGTCTTTTAATCTGTAATTGAACGTTTATTGTCTAATTACGCTTCACTCAGTATAAAGAAGACAATTTCTATTGCTTTCTTTTGCAGGTTCTTTTTCTTTTGTAGGCATCTCAAGTGCTACATACTTTACAACGGCAACAGTCGACAGATGCGTCTGACTACCCTATTAGGCATTATAGTCGTGAGCATTTTTTATATTATATATTTTGGCAAATGTAAATACAATGTCTGTTTAATTTCTAATTTTTAAGCAGCACCTATTTAATGTTATTTTTATGTTGTACTGTAAAATTGTTTGGATCATGTGTTTCATTCGTTTTTTTTTTACATTATAGATCCTTAATTTAATGATTTGTTATATTTTTTATTTTAATTATTATTATTAAGAAGAAATGTCAATAGTAATATTTTATAATCAGATGCAGATCCACAACCATAAAAACAGTATAGTATTTCTATTTAGTATTTAGTTCATTATTATAGTTAGATAAGTTAGTTTGAAAAAAATATAAGACAGAATTATTATTTATTATACGCGGCAGGCAAGCAGAGTATATAACTATATAACTGCAAAAAGTATTAATAACAATACATGAGACAACAAAATGTTTTATGAATCGGCAACAATTTAATTAACTCTCATAATCTTCGACAAGACGTAGCAAACGTATTTTTATATTTAACAATTTTTATATTTATAATATATACAAACATAACCTGTTCCAATAATAAGCAACATAGTAAGCATTAGCTATTGTAAATTAGTAGTTGTATAGGTAACATAAATATTTCTTCAAAACAATGAACGGTCACAAATTATTTGTATTCAGACAAATGTAACTCAAAATTCTTCAAATAGATACTAAACGAGTGAGTTCATTGAATGATAAATTGTCATATGAACTCGTGGCGAGTGTCCAGAACATTTCGTTTTGTCCCAGCATGTGGTCTGCCACATAGGAAATTTAATGTTACAGCGAAGTATGTAACCTCGGGTCGGCTTATGAAGTGAAAAAAGATAAAACTATTTTTTATAACGTAACAAGTAAATCATTACATTTCGCGGTAGATTATCATCATAATTTAATTTTCATTTATTATATGTGGCCCCGCCTTCGACCGCGTGACCGGATACATTGATCAATTGGAATAAAGACTTATGGTTTTCACTAAAACAATGTGAAAGTCATATTACAATTTTTAGAGCCATTTAAATGTCAAGTGGAGATGAGCAACTAACTTACCACCTAGCCCATAGAACTGACAACCAAACCAAAGATAAGACCTCGATATATATGCCTTTATATACTGATATGATGTAAATACTTTATCCCAGTCTTTGTGACTGAAATATGACTGTTTGAAAAATAACACATTCAGTGCATACTTACGCGTCTACAGACCTCATCTGTATTATGAATAAAATAAATATTGTACAATACACATATATACTCTTTGGTGGTTTAGTATAATGATTTTGTTCTTTTAGTTGTTTTTTTTTATAATTTGTTGTGTTGTAATATGAACAATATAATATGAGTAATAATATAAATAAATACGTATAACATAAATAACTAGCGAATCTTATTCTCTCGCCAGTCACCATACGGATCAATCCCATCGATAATTATCATTCTTCTTAATAAAAGAGAAAACATTTAATTAATTCATTAATTAGCATTTTGCTTAATATGAAGTGACCACCTTTACGAGCGTTTACATATCGATATCGTGGTAGAATTCACATAAATTGTTTTTTTTTTATTGTCTTATCATTACGCGTTGTTGAGAAATGTTTGCAAAAAGTACGTTAAGGACATGCAACGAAACCACCATGCGCATGTTTGAGTACTGCATGTGTATAAAAACATGTCTGTCATTATATTCGACGTTGACTGTTCACGCAATTGGCGTACATCACAGTTTAAAAAACCGTCAAGCGCGTACCGATCGCTCCTTGTAGGGTTTGGTATATTTTACGTTTTTATGAATTTAATTATATAAAAATATTATTAAATAAAGTTGGGAGATTGTTAAATAAAGTAAGCAGATTTTTAAATGAAATAGACGTGTTATTTTTCTATGAAGCAATTAACTCGATTTCAAATTGTACATTAATTTTGCGTTCTTTACATTAATATTTTTATTCCCATTTTAGATTTTTTTTAAGAGCGATTTCAGTTTTTGGTTGGAATAAATTTTAAATTATGGCCTATTTATCTATGCATCTTCACTCTCATCACATTTACGCAATCTAAAGTAATACTTATTTTATTTTCTATCACGACATATATAATACTTGGTATAATTATTTGATACGTATTTGATGTTGTTGGTTTAAATTAGGTATTATACATTGTGACTAATTATTTTTAATAAAGTTGTATCGTGTAATATTATTCGTGAGAAAAATGTCTAATACATATGTTTTTATATAATAAATTGCTGTTGAAATAAATGAGTAATAAATGTTTTACAAGATATTGTCTGCTTATGCATTTCGTACACTTTTAAAATACTTAACATGATAATGATTATGTAGCCTCAGGAGATGGCTCTTCGGTAATTGGTGTTGTAGTTGGCTACTTGTACAGATGAAAAATACTGTTATTTTACTTTACTCATTCACTAGCGGCTCATCCTGGCATCGCTCGATTTTCAATTGTAAAAAGAAACAATAATACAAGAAAAATATCTTTGACTGAGGATAAAATATAAAAGAGAAGTAAATAAAAAAAAAATGTATTGTATTGTAAAATCTTTATTGTACATGATTTACATTGGATATATTAAAAGATTTAATAATAATTTAATAAAAATTATAAGACAAATTAAATAAAGGAAAGTTAATATAAAATAAAAGAAAAAAAATTAAAATAGAAAAAGTATAATAATTATAATTATAATAAGTATCTTAAAAAATCTAAAGTCTCTAATGTAAATGCAGTCCTTTACATTTGTTTTAATCTCCATTGCAACTTTTTAGGGGAAAAAATCCTAAAATGCTTAAATAGTTTTATAATCTTAGTTTTATGTCAAGAATTTATATACAAGATATCAGATCTCCAAGTTGAAAACTAACGGATTTCAAATGTAAACATTATAATTACAAATTTTTCACACTTTTGAGAGTTGAATTTTTAATTTATTATCTACGATAAGAAAGAATATGAGTACAAAATCTCTTGTATGCAAATAATTTATTACCTACACAAATTTTTCAGTGGTTTCGACTCAGTAATAATGAGTCAGTTAAAGCTTATCTCTTATAATAGGTATTAATATACAGATATCAAGTAATTAGCTGCCCATATTATTTATACCCATACACCTACAATATTTTACTTTATATAGCGTCCATAAATACTGTAATTAATAGATAAATATGATAATATATAATTTAATAACAGATTTAATATAATAAATTATATTAATAATCGTCGTGATTCATCCTGTATGCTTATGAATAAAGGCTCCTTTCAAGTTCGAAACTAGTTGGGCGACTCCGAAGTACCTAAATACGTGAGTAAAACGTATTAACTTTGGAGTTGATATTAATAATAGCATTTAATTATTTAGTTATTATTATTTTTAACGATATTTGCTCTTCTATTTTTAATTGTAATCCAAATATAGTACAAAAAAATCTATTAGAAGATTAAACATCTGTGGACAATATATACATATATGATATAAAATGACCTCCGTTTTGCATTTTATGTCTGAAATGGACATCTATTAATTATTATTATTTCACTTATAAGATAGTAACTATGGCTAGCAACACGATCAATAAAATTTTGTTTTTGGAGGTTTTTTTTTCTTTTACATCTTTTTATTGTACTGTGATATTCACATATTTTATTTATTAATCCTCTAACTAATTACTATAGAATAATAACATGTATAAATACATAAGATAATTATAGGCAGATATCACTTTTTAATACAACAGATTTTTTTTTTAATTTTAATTATTATAAATTTCTTATAAACTATACATGTGTACACAATATCTTAGCTATTTACAATGCCATGATGTCCATTTAGGTAGGCATAAAAAACAATGAAGCCATAGCCTGACAATAGTATTCACAGTACCAGCAAAATTTTATTTATTAACCAATCAATTATGGTTAGAGCGTGACATCATTATAGGTAAGGCACGGTAGCGCGAGCAGGATAAAAGATATTTTTAATCTACTTTTATCAACTTCTGCCTCATATACATACCTACACATAAATTATAAAACATGCTAAGGAATTGTCAGTACATAATTTAATAAAACCATATTAGTAAAAGAAGAAAGAAAGAAATTTTATTTTATTTTTTTTTTTTATATCACAGGCGGCAAACGAGCATGCGGCTCACCTAATGGTAAGTGACTACAATCACTATATTAAATTTATAATAAATAATTAAGAATTTATTCCAGTTTAGGTATATTAATTTAATTAATATATTCAAACTGAGTGCTGGAATTACAATAATAACATGTCATAGACGTAAGATATATGGATGTAAATTTATTTTGTGTTGTAACTTGTCAGTGGTTCTAAGTAAATAAAAGAAAAGAAAAAAAAAAAGATTTTGCATCTGAAATTAGGGACTGAGTTTTCGTTAATATAAAAAATTTTACTACTTTTATTTATTATTTAACATAGCCGAGTAATATGTCCATTGGCTCCTAATGTAGTGCAATATATGTAATGGCGATACAATGGGTGTAAGTCTATATGGAAATCGAGTTGGTGATCCAAAATTGATATTATTTAAAACTTGTAAACAATTTATTTGATTTCTAATTTGTTAAATAATTGCTGTATGTAGGAAGAGGTGACCCATTTTATGCTGAAACCTTACAAACCGAACAAGCACGAAAAATGAGTATTTTTTAAAATTTTTGTGTAGATTGTTTTTGTAATAATTTAAAGGAAAATTGATTACCTGTGTAATAAGTTCCATTGAAATAAACTATATATGTATAATATCTAATAACTGACGGAACTTAAAATATGCATATGCATAGTAATATGGGTGACACAGTATACTCTTTTATGTCCATGGTACTGTTTATGTCTATATGCGACAGTTACCACTTTCCATTAGGTGGACAGTCAACTTGTTTGCCATTTTAAATTGTATAAAAAATATATATGCCATATTGCTATCCGTATGCATAAGTACAAAGTTGCTTCGTGAGTTACAGAAAGGGCTATTTTTGGAGTTTCTGTAAAAGAAAAAAAAATCTATATAATCAAATGAATAAACAAACTAAAGTGGCAATGGGCCAATCATATAGTTCGAAGAACAGACAACCGTACAGGTAAACGCAGAGTAGGACGATCCCGCCACTAGATGGTGAGACGACCTCAAATGCAGTGCAGTGAGTCTCTGGATGCAGATGACTCAAGATCGTTCTATAGGGGAGGCCTATGTTCAACAGTCGACGATTAACGGCTGCCATGATTCTGATTATAAAATATGATGACATATGTACAAATAAACATGTACGTACAAATACATAAATAAATATATCTTTTGAGCAACGTGTAGAAAGAGGGACGATTTGATTTTTTTATATATAATGAGCAAACTCAAAAAAAACATCACCGATTTAAAAAATTCAAACAGCATGTAATATGGGCTGTATTAGGTATATTATTAAAAAACCGCGCAAACTCAGAGCGGGTCGTTAGTAAATAAATAAACAGTTGCAAGTTGATATGTAGAAGAAGTCGAACAACAATTAAACTTTTAAAAAAAAAATTAAACAGACTTAAAAAAAAGCAGCAGTCTGAAATGATGACTTCCAGATGCAATCATCCAAATAATATAAAAAATCCTAAGAAACGGTCTATACATCCTTATTATTAATATTCAAGGAATTATTTCCTAACTCCTAACTGTTAAGGAGTTAAACCTTCCATCATAGTCTCATTTAAATTGCTTAGGGGAGTATAAAAACTTATTTATACCATATGTCTTTAATGTTTAAAGAATTCTCCTCTAACTTCTAACCAATAAGGAGTTGTGCCTTCCATCATCAGCTCAGCGACATGAGATAATGACTACCAGATGTACATATCTGAATGAGGTTTGAAAAAATGTGGATCACCATATATTTGCCTATAAGATTTGAAGGTTGCCCTCGATTTCCTTGGCATTCTATCATCACATTTAGACTTGGTAGCAAAGGATTTACCATTAAGAAAATAAAAAAAAAAATTGAAATCGATCCATAATTATCGCAGGAATCGAAGGGTGTATGAAAAAAAATATACAACGGAATGTATTCTACCTTCTCCTTTTATGCAGTCCGTTAACAATACACAATTACGTGGTGTAAATCCGACTAACAATGAATGAAAGTGTACATCAACAAAACTAATAATATATTTAAAATATATATGTTAATATATAATATATTGTATTGCTTTTTAAGTAAATAAAAGGGTTAGAGTATGTAAATAAGGTAGTCATGAGTACGAGATAGATAAGCGATAAATCGGAAGGTAGTATATCTAACATAGTAATATGAATACATACATACATCTGTATATTGTGAACGTAAATCAATTTTAGATATTGTTACCAAATTGGGTATACAGGTGAAATCAAAATCTTTTGCATGCTCTTATTGTATGCATGTGTTCTATCATTGAAACAGAATATTTTTGGAAATGACTAAATATTTTTTGTTATCGATATATATATATATATATATACATATATATATATATATATATATATATATATATATATATATATATATATATATATATATATATATATATATATATATATTATATGTTTATTTTATTTCTTTCAGAGTAGTATTACCATGGAGTATAGATTTAGTGTGGGAGGCAAAAAAAATTGTGCTATACATTTTTGCACAATTTTCTTAAAAAAAAAACAGTACCACGTGTACATTATTCTCTTAAAAGAACACAAACAAACAAACAAAAATAGATTTTGATTCCACCCTGTATACTTAATTATGTATATAATGATAATATGTATTATATCATGTATAATATGTATTATATTATACATGTTTATGTTTGAAAAGACTAACATTTCGTCGGCAAAACTCAGTCTACACATACATATAAAGTATTATTTAGTCTTTTAATAAAATTTCACGTATGATTTTATTACATCGTATATACCTTTTGTTTTTATTCGAATTCCTTTTTGTCATATCATTCTAATGAATTTTATATTACCTACATAGGTATTTGCGTTTATTATACCTTTAGAAATATGAAAAAGCATTTTTTCTAATATATTAAGTCATAAAGAGTTATATTTATTTTTATAACGTTATTTAGCTAACATTGTGGTTAATTATCCACAACATTATTATTAACTAATTAATTCTGTTTGCTTATTTTATATTGTGTACTTATTATACAAATAATTATAGAGTACTAAATACATCTGTAGATAATTTAAGTTGGTTTTCATAAACATCAACATTAATATAATAATACTACTTTGTTTGCGCATGGCACACTGTTTTATACAAATCGTTCTGACATTACACGTAATGTCACAGATGTTTTACAAGTTTAATGATGTTTAACTGCACTTATACTTGCTGCACTAAGCAATTCATTAAGTATACATTATAATATATGTAAAAAGTTTATCGAGCTTGATAAGAGTATACATGAAACTGTACAACATTTCAATAATACAACTTAAACTTATTTAAACATTTAGTTATGATTAACATTTTCAAATTAATATATATATATTAGTAAACCTAAATCTAGTTGATATCAATTATAATATAAAATATATAATTAATTTAAGGTCATTGTTATTTCACTATGGTTGACAGATACATGTAAAGCAAGTATACCTACTTTAGAAATGAAAATGGTAGCCACTTGCCTACAAGTGCTATTCTCCAATACATGTAGTAACTATTATTACCGTACGATATTTATATGTCACAATATATATGTACGATACATATCTTATCCACATCGATGAATGTTACTAACATTTCAGATATGTAAGTAGATATTTTTTTCTGTGGTCAACACTGTGCATTTATTTTCAGCTTGTAGAACATCTGTCGATAGTGGACACGATCGGTTTCAAAGATATCATAAATCTACAAACCAATTGATAACTTAGCCCGCATGAAGTTAAATTAAACAAACTAGCCAGGAATATGTTGGGTACATCTTTATAGGGTTCCGTAGCCAAGTAAGTTTTTACCTTGGATGAGCAAAGTGATTAAAATGACTGATTATAAAGTGTTTAGATAAAAGAGAAAAAAACATAATATGTGTATTATGTATGTATGTTAAAGGTATACTGTGTTATGTAGTCTATAATGTATACAATAACGTACTCGTATATGTAAAAGCAAGATGAAAAGTTAAAATATTCACTTACACATATTGTATTAGTAACATTTAAACAAGTTCAAAGCTTGGTTTAAAATGTTAAGGTATCATTAATTTTAAGCGAATTTAGGTGGCTAGAATTTTAAGTTTGCTGTTCCTTAATATAACAAAAATAAGGCAAAAATAATATAAAATTGCATTTTTTTTTTTCATAAATGTAAATATTCATCTCTTTAAATGCAATATTATTGAAGCATGCGACATATTTTGTTAGTTATTTTGTATTTTGTTGGAAGAAGTAAATATCTAATTCGATTTTTCTGTATAAGAGTTCTTAATGTCTAAAAAATTATATATATAATACATTTTTTGCTATTTTTACAACTTCAGTTACATATAAATTCAGCCCTGTCATATGTACACATTTACAAAACACGCACTGTAGTGTAACTGTTTTCTTGTTTAGTTTTTATGATTACATCGCCAGTCTATCAGTACATGAGTATGTTATACTACTTTATGATAGACAGTGCAATTTCTGACACTTGTGTGGGGTAATAGGTATATTTTATGACGTTTACTATATGTTTTGAGGTTTGAGGTTAAGAATGTTTTATGATTATTGAATTTTAACTGCAAATAATTGAACATAATATATGATGCTACGATATAGACAGTCGGTCAGGCGTTTATACAGATGATCAGCAGCTAAAAAGCGAGTTCTATTACAACTGTTCTAAATTTCGTTAGAAGAGTAAGTATATATATGGTATATACTAAATAAATAGAAGATTATGTCTTATTTATTTTATTGGCTATATTTTTAAGAGACTTATTCGCGACAGATTTATAAAATTTTAGAAAAACTAACCTCAATAAAAATAATCTTTTGGAGATATCAATCATCTTAGCCACCATTATATTAAGCAACATTTATCCCAGAAGACACTAGTATTCTTTCAATAGTCACTATTATTAGTATGAGAGACAACGGTCGGCGTCCATTTT